TGCCTAAGGCATCTGTCTGCTAACCTGTAGGCTGGCGGTTCAAACCCACCAGCCACTTCTCAGAAGGAAGGTTGTGCAATCTACTTCTGTAGTGATACCACCTTGGAAACCCAAGGAGGGGTCACTATGAGTCAGATCTGACTCGATGGCAGTGAGTTTGGTTTTTTTTTTTTTGATATTACACATCTAAAGATGTCTCCTAAATTAAAAAAAAAAAAACTATCTGTAAATAGATTTTTGTTTGTTCATATATTTGAAAAACAAACAAAAAACCTTTCAAGAGGATCAGAAAACAGAAAATGAAAGAAAATTATACTAGTTACCATACATGTTTAGATCTGAGTCAAATATGCTGAACCTTTCTTTCATTAACATTATTTCATTTAATGTCCACTACAATCCTATCTGGTATTACTCATTAATGCGTACAGAACTTGTGATGCAAAGAAGGTAAGAAATGTGTGCAGTACAAGGTCACACAGGAAGCAAGTGGCAGAGAGACAAGAATTAATCATAGATTGCTCTAACTCCAAAGTCCATGCTTGAACCTCTCTGCTTCCTCTAGAACAGAGGCATTCTTTTTAGAGGATCCAATCTCTACTGAAGACTAGGTTATTTCCATTTTTTATTTCTCTAGCATAGTCTTTGAGGTCCTTGTCAGCAAGAGGGCATGTTTCCTATATAACTTTGCTTTCTCAATTCCTGTTGGAGTAGCAGTTATCAGTAACTTGCTAAATGAAATTTAGGGGATATTAAATTCATCATCACTGTGCCTAAAAGTGCCAGAACACATTATCGTTAACTAGGCCTCACCTGGACAAAACAACACATTTTTTAACAAATAAGTTTAAAATTAACCTTTTAATGACCAACCTTATGGCGGTCACTGTGGCATGACATATATCAATCTAGCTGAGCTACAGTAAGAGAAGTATGACCACTATATGATATGATTAATTGAAAAACAAGTTTTACTTTGAGTGAATTCATGAAGACATATAGAATCTACAAGTGCCACCTGTAGTATCATTGCCAGCCTGGCACTACTTTTTCCCTAGAGGATAGAAAAGCTATATATAAAACTTTCAAATTGGAACTATAACTTTTTATGGTCTATTGCTTTTGAAAAATAAAAAAAAAGATTATGAGACAAAACACAAAGACAAACATCGTAAAATAACTTTTATACAGGATTAGATCTGTTTACATATAAAAAAACAGAAAGGACCTCATTACAGTTAGATTTCACATATATTACACAGATTGACTTTTTAAAACTAATAATCAGCTTCATTTAAAGTCCCTTTTAAAAATTTCATTTTGAAGGCACAGTGTATGGAATAAACCAAAAATGGAAGCACTTGACATGGATGGGTGTTGGACACATCCTCTAAGAAGCTATCAATGCTTATGGAGTTGAGGAGTGTCACTCTGAGAGAACGGAGAGGTGAAAAGTTGATTTCTAATCTGAGTATAAAAAAATACCATGTCATACCTCCAGAAAATCTGCAGCATGGCCAGCAAAGAATGTAGGTTGTACCTTCATGTTATGCCATTTATAAAAACCATAATCATATATATTTATATAATTTATGTCCAATTCCCTCAAAATGGTAACCTACTTTCAAATTTCATAATATATTCTGTCAAATCAAAATTAACCAGAATAATATTCTGAAAGTCAAGTGCAATGTTCATTAATTATTGCTAAAAATAGGAGAAATGGTTGTTGGGTGAGATTTCTTCAGAAACTAGAAATCCAAGTTCAGTTGGCATTACTCAAGGACGCTAATCACCCTGCAAAAAAATATGCTTTAACTAAAACAAATCAGAGATCCAAAGAGTTATCACACAGTTGGTAGAAAATGACTGAACATCAATCATATGGAATGTTTAGGAATAACAATAAAGCAAAAGTATAGAGGACATGTCGAGTTGCTACTACTTAAAACAATTCTACCAGAGAACCATAACAGAGGGTATGATTACAGCACTCATAGCCAAGAACCTTTTAATACAGTAGGGGCAAAACCTGGCACAGGTGCATTTCTGGAAACAAGAAGATAAAACTATTCACTGCTGAGAATAAATGGAAATGGAGGATCAGGTGATGATTACTGAATAACCTGATGCTAGCGCAGAAACACAATAAACTTAGGCATATTTCTTTGTCAACTCATAATTAGCTTTTAAGTTCAACAGTCATTAATTCAACAAACCTCATTCAGGGGAAAGTCACCAAAGATTAATCAATCAATCACACGGGGCCAAATACACAATATATTTCTTTCCTGGAGGATGACTAAGTTCCAAGGCAAGTTCTTTCTCTTCAATGAGAATTTCAAGCATTCCTCAACTGGATAGGATCTCAATCACTACCAAAGTATTCAGCAAAATACATCAAAACTGAAGGGTCTTTCCTTCTTAAATTATTTGGCCCATCTTTTTGAACTACATAATCAATACAAGAACATTTACACAGGCAGACACTTTGAGCATCACCTCTTCAATCATTTTGATTTTATTAAAGAGCTGGGAGGGTAGAAGGCTTACAAAATGATCACCAGGACAAAACCCATGCCTTGTGAGTAAAGAAAGGCACAATCCATACTTGGGCAAATTTCTTAATACTGTAATACTTACTTGCCTCCATGACTCCAAGGAAATGGAAAGCCTCTAGGAGAAACACTGAAGAAATGCATTCCCCATCCCATATGGCTTCAAGGTCTAGGCAGTTCATGTGATCTAATCTAACCAGATTAGATCCACAAAAAACAGACAAAGCAGGGCTGAGAACACAAACTTAGTAGTCATGAATCCTGTACATTCATGTTAACAGGTAACACCAGTTGAGAAGGCCTTGTTCTCCAGCACAATGCAGTATTTAGAAATTCATTAAAGATTCAAGAATTGTAGCAGAGTTTGGTTTTCCTTTCAGAAAAAAAACAAAAGAACTATCTGCATGTTCATTTCTAAATAAATTTAACACATGCTTAAAAGGCAAGGCCTCCAGCCACTGAGATGTACAGTTAAAGACACATTTAATTTAAGAGAGAAATAAATTTAAAAGGCATCCTCCAATGACGACCAATGTTAATAAAGTAAAGGCTATCATATCAACTTTGTTTCATTTCTAGCAGAAATGTCCCAAACAAAGCTGCCACTCTTAGGCTCCTTGTGAGTTTTCTGACTTAGCACTCTTAAAAATAAATCTGAAAAAGAACATCACCACCACACTACCCCTTAAAGAAATGTGAAGTATAATGAGGAGAAATGAAAGCATGTGTATTTCAATAATTATTAATGCCCCACAAACTGTTCTGTCTATGTGCTGGGTGAGAGGGAGGTGGCAGGGGCACAGAATTCAGAACTGCTAATACCAAGAGTAATACTACATGGCTTAACCTTGAACCACTCAAATTTATCATATATACTAATTAACCAGTGTCATGATCTCATTGTGCCTGCTAAAGCAAATTTCTTTTTATAAGCCACTTTGGATGCATGCCACACAAAACTTTGTTGAATGACCTATGTGGGTAATAAACCATCCATACGAAGGCTTTGAGATGAATGACACATTACTGGATATAGAATACAATTTGAAAAGATGAGAGGAAGTTTTTCAACCTTCTAATTTAGTACAAGTTAAACAGCAACTTGGCTGTTAAAACATTCAAAGGTATTAAACCATTAGATCATTGGTAAGACTCATACTTACAAAAAGCATCATTTTCATTGAACAGCATGATTCAACAGACACAATAAAATGCAAATCTTTTAGGCCTTTGCAGTAACAGTGTTGTATCACACGGCAGTCCATAGTTTACTTTTTTTTTTTTTTTTAAATGGAGGGAGCCATACTTCAATGCTTTCAATTGAATTTTTAACAAAACTGGTTTATCAAAAAGAGACCATAAAATGAAATTTAGGACAAAGAAACTAATCACTTGCAGAGGCCTTTGAGAACAAGGCTGGACAAGAGCATGAAGCGTAGACATTTCATGTTCAAATGTAGGTTAAGAATGTGCAAGTAGGTCTCTTCCATACTTCCAGACATTTCCAGTGGAATTCAGATCTTGTACATTGCTGGACATCTGAAAACCATAAGTATACAACATAGGAAAAGGTCCGAATTTAGGAAACTTTGAAGAATTAGGCATTCCTAGCATAAACTAGTGCTTCACGGATAAAAGCAGCAGCACCTGTGGGTTTTTACGAAGTTAAAAGATAGGCAACAAGAGTTTTAGCTGTTGCTAGATCCCCCTCTCAGCTCCACTCAAATGGACATTTAGATTTTTCACAACAAAGTCAATAGGTTCTCCCTTAAAATGGGATTTAGAACTTTGCTAAACCTTATGAGAGAGGTAGTGAAATCCTGCTTAGAGCACAGCCCACCAGTTCTGATCTAGCCTTGGAACAGGTAGAAAGCCAAAGCGGAAGCCCATTTACTAATTTCCTAATGTTATATATGTTTAAAAATCAATTCAACCTCCATTAAACCTGAATAAAAAGAGAAACTCCAGCTATTTAATAACTAGAGAAAAGTACTTCTCAGTAGGTTGAGAAAACCTTGAGTTTTTAAAGCTTTATGTCAGATTCTGACTGCTGTCCCTGCCTTAATGGTGCTGGATTCTTTTGGCCATTTAAAACAAAGGAAAAAAGCTAAAGCCACTAGTAAACACCTGATGTGCGAAATACAACATCCACTAGTTGGCTTTCCGCAGTTATTACAACAGCTCATCTTAAATTAAAAAGAAAAACAAAATGGCTGTCCCATCTCTGCTGCATAAATAGAAATAAGATATTTTCTTAAAAGGTAAGAGTACTTTAAGGAAGGGAAGCTCAAAACCAAATTCACAAGAATACAAATTTAGCAAGTTAACTTCCCAAAGCTCTTTGAAGAAGCAAGACAGTCTCTCTTCTTAACGTGGTATCTCCCAAGAGAAACTGTAATTTTGCTTGGTACTTATGCTGGGAGATATGGAAAGTTGTGTGTTTCAATGTTTGCTGGAATACAATGTTTCCTCTTCAGTGTCCGTTTCATCCTGGAACTCATGGCTTAAGAGGGATTTCTTTGAGCCCGTTGACATCATGCGAATTTCATCTTCATACTCATCATGATGCTGTCTGAGTCGATGAAAGCCATCCTTGTGTCTGTTAGACTTGATTGAGCAGATGCACCAAATAATGCAAGCTGTTAGGATCAATGCAGACATAGTGGCACCTGCCAAACAAGAACCACCACGTGAGTAAAACCAAAACCAAAGTCATTGCTGTCGAATCGATTTTGACTCATAGCAATCCCTCTTTGGGTTTCTGAGGTCGTATCCATAAGGAAGCAGATTGCTCATTCTTTCTTCCAAGGAGTGGCTGGTGGATTTGAACCACCAGACTTCTGGTTAGCAGTCAAATGCCTTAGGCACTATGCCACCAGAGCGCCCACCATGTGAGTAGCCTTAAGAATATATATAGACAGCTGTTTACAATGGCAGTTTTAGAATATGCTCATTTTATTTTTATTTCATGTGCTTGAAACAACTTTTTGTTATTACAGAAGCAATACATGTACTATATCCAAAATTAGAAAATATAGTTTTTTAAAAATACCAAAAACTAAAACCATCCACATCTTCATACTTCTGTTACCCAGAAGCCACGTTTCATAACTCTACTGCACATTTCTCCTGATATTTCTTTATGCATATATCATAAGTTTTTCTTTTCTTTTACCACAATGAAATCACAAAGTACACTGTACTTACTACTATTCTGCAACCTGTTGTTGTTTTTTTAATTAATGACTTCTACTTTTCCTTTCTACTAAATTTTCATCTCATCTGAAACCCCTCATTTATTTTAAACATTTGTATCAAAATAAGAATCTTAGTAACATAAATAATAATAAAATCATAATGAAGTTCTCAACAGCTAATGTATGGCAGAACCAAATTTAAACTATGGCTTAATCCTAGATCCTCAGTTTTTAACCACTAAGTTATTCACATTTTATCTCATTCAAGCTAAGAAGAAATATTCCACAGCAGGCTCTAGGATTTGATGTATTGTTTCCAATACATCTCTCCACTAAGGATTTCTCCCTTAGACATCATTTAATAAAACTTGGTTTTCCTGAAGTCCAAATTGTACTTAGAAATGAACTAAACTCTTTCGTGTCAAATAGTGATACAAAGAGTATTTATTATTTTACCACTTTTTTTTTTCTCCTAACCTTTCAATAATTCAAGGAATGGCACAAATTAATCCTGGAGAAAGCAAGTATTTCTTCCTTTCTAAATCTTGGAGAAACAGAACTAATATAAATCAAAGTCAAAAGAACTTGTGACCAGATAGCAGTAATGGTAGCACAACATGAAAAATGTCATCCATATCCCTGAGCTCTAAATGTGGAAATTGTTATTTTGGGGAATGTCTTGGTGTGCATGTTTTCATCACAATAAAAGTAAACAAACAAACAAACAAAAACAACTTATGACTTCGCTATAAAGCAAATCATTCAAGTCATTCAACAACTATTCATTAAGATCCACCATGGAACCAGAGTTCCAGGCTCTGGGATGCAAATAAATGCTTATTTTTATAGAGCTGATGTTTAGCGAGGAGACTGTGTGTGGTCCAAACAGTTAAGTGCTCCACTACTAACTCACAGATTGGCAGTCTGAACCCACTGAAAGGCACCCTGGAAGAGGTCTGGCATCTGCTTCTAAAAGGTCAGAGCCTTGAAAACCTTACAGAGCAGTTCTACTCTGTGCACCTAGGGTTGCCATGAGTTGGAACTGACTTGACAGCAATTAACAGCATCAACAACAGTATGTTTTAGTGGGAGAGACTGGATATAGAAAAATAAGCAAGTAATTATATAACATCAGTTAGTGATAAGTACTATAATGGAGAAAAGTAGGTTAGAGATAGTGACATGAGTAGTATTTTAGCTAGCGTAATCAGGGAAGGGCTCTCTGTGGCGGTGACAAATTTGAGTACAGACCTGGAAAAATGAGGGTGCAAGTCATGAGAACACAGGGAAGAACAGTGTTCCAGGAAAATCAGGTTTGGATAAGGAGACAAGAAGAAAATGATAAGCTTCAGGTAATTATGGAGGTGATCCACCCTCAAACAAATGTCAACGCTGTTTTAACTTCAACTACTAAAAACTAAGATCTCTTTACCTGATACAGTTACCACAAGTTCCCTTGGCAAACCAAATATCCGGTTATCTGTGTCAAAGACTATTACCACAGAACTAGCTGCATCATGATGCACAAAGACCTAGAAGACAAAAGTGTGAGAGTCATGAAGAAGTTTAATCAAGTATATTGTGTTCCTGCTACATTCTTAGGGCTTTTATACCAACTGTCATCTCAAGTAACCAAAAAGCTATAAAAGTTTCCTTTCTGTACCAAAGATTAATAAAATCAAGGTAGTCACACTTTTTAAAAATTTAAATCTTTATATATCTTTATAAATCTTTATACCCTCAAGCTTCATAACAGGAGTTTCAAAATAGAAGTACTATTAAACGTATGAATTTACATGATGCTACTCGATTTGAGTCTCTCACCTGTGAGTGTTGCTGCTGGTATCCCTCAGCGATAGCATTGATGTTATGGAAACCGGGGGCTAACAGCACATGAAAGTACCCTCCCTCTTTTGTGTGTACTTTGATTCCTTCATTGAGGACAATGACTGCTTTAGAGACTGGTTTTCCACTCTTATCTTTAACAAATCCATGAACTCCCTTGTGAACCTGAAAAAAAAAAAAAAAAAAAAAACGTTTAAAATATAAATTCATGTTTCATAATGTCAAGTATTCTAGAGGCATGGGAAAAAAAAAAAAATCCTGGCTCATACCTCCCTCCTGACTCTGACCTTGTTGGTTACTCATTCACTGCTTCAGAGCCAGAAAGAGACAAGAGAAAAAAGAACTTGATATGGCTCAAGCCTAAAGCATTAGAAGCCAAATCTTTTGAAGCCTTCATGATTTCCTTTCCACGATACTACCCTGCCTCCAGTAACTATGTATGATACTCAAATTAAAGAACCTGCAACATTAGCAAGGCCAGATTATGTAAATTACAGCAGATTCCAGATATATGAATTCATGGTACGTACTCAGTCAACAGAAAATGATCACAAGTCTCCTATTTATATGAATTTAAAGTAAAGCATTTTTGGTAAAAGATTAAGAAAATGTTTTGATAAAGATTTTTTCATTGAACATATTCCTAGAACTTCCTTTTAGTTAAAAGAGAAAGACTCACCTCAACTAACATGCTGAGAAGAGACTTTTTATTTTCTGCCCACAAGGAAGGGAGCTGTGCAGCACTAGGAAAGTAGCAGCAGCTGGTATACACTGTGATTTCTGGACAGTGGCCATAGGTGACACTGTAATCCTGGAATATAAAATTCAAAAACAAATGAAGGAAAGTAATAAGTAAGAATGAGGTTTTGTAATGCAACAAAAGGAATAAATGGAATAAAAATGGGCGATGTAAACAAAAAAATGTATATGGCAAACATAAATAAACCACTCTGTATCACCATCAGTTGCAAACATGACAGTTCCTAACAGAAAATGAATCCCTTGAACACAGGGACTATGTCTAATTTGGTTTTATTTAGTGCTTCCCACAGTGCCTGGCAAGTAGAGAGGGTTTATTCAGGTTTGTTGGATAAATGAGTGAATGAATAAGTACATGCAGAGGGCTACTGGAACTTTCCTACTGTTCTTGGAAGTCTGGAGGTGGAAGCACAGGCCCTCTGATACCCTCAAGCTGGCACTTGCTGCTCACAACAATAATTGTCCCTAGTGTAGCATAGATTCAGGTACAGAAATTGTGTGGACAAGTTCAAAAACCTAACCTGCCATCTCTTTCCTGAAACCTGTTTTTTTCTCCCCTGATTTTCCCACTAGTTAATCTCATTAACTCATTTTCTCACACACTTGAAATCTTTTGTCTATCATCCCATAATTTGCATCAGTTCCACTTCTACAATTTTCTGAAACTTCATCCCTTGACTCCACTCCCAGTGCCACTACCTTAGAAAAGGCCCTCATTCTCTCTTGTGTTGACTATTCTAAACTGTATCCCCACACTATAGTCTTTCCTTCCTATAATCTATCTTAACTCACTATTAAGAAGTTAATTTTCCCATAACACAGCTCAGACTATGTCACTATATCCCTGCTCAAAAATCTTCACTGGCTCCACTTCTTAGTAAAACGAAGCATTCAACAACAGTTTTCTTCTTGGCTTCTGTTGCTCTACATTATGTACCATGTTCTTATTAAATGACACTGCTCATTGACCGTTGCCTTTCCTGCTTCCTCTTTCTGGAATGTCCTGCCTCTCTACCTCTGAAGAGTTAAATGCCATCTCCTCTATGAAGAGGAGGTTACATCCCTGACTGGGTGTAACCTTTCTGTCTTTGATGTCTCATGGCACATTGAGAGAGGCTCTCTTTTTGATTAAATCAATTAATTCTGTAACACTTATTTGTAAAATGGGGTGGGGGGTTTATTTTATTTTATTTATCACTATATCCCAAATAGCAAAATGCCTCACACGTAATAAGTTCTTAGTAAGTAAAGAAAGGTGGGAAGACAGGCAGAGATGGGCATGAAGTCACTTTTCTGGTTGTACATGTGAATGAACCAGCTAACCACTTCTTTGCCATATCTCTTGACTAATTTGAAGTGGATGGACAATTAATTAAAATGTTGTCAGAGATTGATTTAAGGGCTATACATGCCAAGAAAACCACAAAACAGATACATTCCATTTCATATCAGAAAAGTCACCTACTCTTTCACTCAATGGGCAATGTTCATAGTTCTTTCCTCAGTGTGCTCTGTTAAGCATACCTTCATGCTGCCCAGGTGACTGTGCCATTCAGCTCCACGCATTACTCCTCCTGGAATATTCTCATCTATGAAAACATTGAGAAACATAGGATTAACAAGACAGTAAGACAAGATCTTTCCCCGAAACAGCAGCAACACCAAACGATAAGAGAAATACTTACCTGATTTATTTGGGCAACTGGGCTGACCCATGTGCATCGATGGATGATTATTTGCATAAAGAGATGCCAAGTGCTTCAGAGTCTCTTTGTTTTCTACTAAAAAGAAAAGAAAAATCAGAAGTCAGTGGAGAAATCCAAAAGACTTTCTTCAAGTTCAATTTCATGGGTATGAAAGTCATCTTCCTCTCTTTCTAGTAAATCTTACAACCCATTCAAGTTTTTTGAGAGGTTAATACAATTAACCATATAGTTCTGTTTAGCCCAGAGTAATCAGACTAAGAAGATGAACATCTTCCTCATATTAAAAGGTACTAATGGTGAGTTTATACAACAGGGCACCATACTAAAATGCAAACTTGTTTGGGTATAATTTTAGTACATTTTTGGGTCATTGTAGCCTAAAATATTCTTCATAAGCCAAATTGCCCAAAATATCTTCATATACAGTGGCCCCACAGAGATTCAATAATTAACTGTTTGACTTACCATAAAGTGCAACCAATCAATTAAAGTTTAGATAAGGGGAGGACAACTCTATATATTGTAAATATTTGGATACATAAGAGTTTGTTGTGGACAAGCACTGTATATTCCCAGTCTGTGAACATAATAATTGCTCAGTAAATGCTTAAGAACTAAACTGAACAGATGTGACAATATGGCTAGACTCAACAAACCTATGCCACCAATAGATCTGACCTCTTTCCTCTAAGTAACTGTCTGAATTCCGTTTATGTATGTATAACCTTCTTAGGCTGGTTATTTGCTCATGGAATATGTTTAAATACTCACCATATAAATAAAATGATAAGAAACATTACTTAACTGGAATATTATCTAAAAGACGATCTAAATATTATCTTAAAGACTATGTATGTGAAGTGACAGACTACATACCTGTCTGTACTGGCTTGTCATATGCGTATGTAACCAGCACAGAACCACCATCTAAAGCAACAGAAAGACTGAAGTCCTGTTTTTGAATCAAATTTTCAATGATGGCTTTAGTCTCAGGCTGAGAAGCATTATCTAAAAAAATAGAAAATTCAATATATAAAACCAAGTTTTAAAATTTTAGTATGAGTAGCTAAGAACATATTCTCTACTTGGACACAATCAAAACACTGACTTACAAAAGTTATAGATAAACACTTTTGTTTCTCCAAAAGCCATTATCTCAAGCAAGAAAGATACGTTCTAGAAGGTAGATTATTCTGAGTTTTATGTACTTCAGGATTAATGTGTATATGTTAATAACTCTAGGCAAGTTTAAGAAATTTCTTACTGGAAATCAAAGGAAATGGACATATGTTCCTTTAAAAAAGTAATTAAGGGGATATACAACTTATCTTTGAAAGAAAATAAGATTTTCAAAAAGCAGTGTGTGTTATAACATGGATGAACCTGGAGGGCATTATGCTGAGTGAATTAAGTCAATCAGAGAAGGACAAATATAGTATTAGTTCATTCTTGTAAAAAGTCAAGGAAAGGTTTATATATGGAAGGAAACTTTCTTTGTTGTTTACCAATGGTGAGGGAGGGAGCATGGCAAAAAAGAGGGGAGGAGAGGGAACATGGCAAAAAAAAAAAAAAAGCATTGACCTATGTTATTTCAGTTTCGCATATTTCACTGTACATAAATTATATTTCAATGTGTTTAAAAATAAAAAGAGTAGTGTGGGTTTTCTGTACCACTGTTTGCAAGCCTAAAAAACTGAAAACAAGCTAAATGTACATTAGTAGGAAAATGGTTGAATAAATTAAGAGTATTGCCATATATTAATGGCATACTAACATGCAATTAATGAGAATGTTGGCAATCTACAAGTACTGGAATGGAAAGATGCAATGGTATATTCAATGAAAAAATTGCAGAACAGTATGTATAACTGATGATCCCACTTATATGAACAAGAAACAAGCCCCTCAAATCAACATACACATATACTGTGCATGAGAGGGTGTATGAGAGGGTAGAGAGGAATAGAAATCTTTGTACTACTAGTGATGGAACATTTCAGTAGTACTGACTGAATTTCTTAGAAAGAACTTTAATTACTTTTATAAATGACAAAGGAGAAAAACTCATAGAGTTTTCTGGATGTCTATATTCATCAATCCCTTATATATATATATACCCTAAACCAGAAAGTATCCCCATTACTCATCTACAAAATAAAATCAACCAATTTCCTAGCAAAGAGAAATAAATGAAGTATCTGCCAAGTGCTAATAGTCTAAAAATTAGTCTTACTTGTGAAGTCTGTATCCAGGTCTTTTCCATGAGCGTTTGTTTGTCCTATCTTTGAAGTACAGTCTTTCTCTTGTGCTCTCTCTCGCCCATCTGGATTTAGGGAAGGGACAATCACAATTCTAGTCCTGTCAATCAACTAAAACAGAAACAGAAATCAATGAGTTTACCACCACTACCTCTATGTGGAAGCAACAGGATCCCTACCATGTGTCAAATAGAAAGTCTTTATTGTTTGTTTTAAACATAGACTTAAAAGGCAGAACTAAAAGGAAAAAGTCTCTCTTGCTCCAAATTCCCAGAGACTTCCTAGTGATTTAGAATAGAGATGAGCAAACTACGTCTGTAAGCCAAATCTAGCCTGCTGCCTGTTACTGGATATAGTTTACTGGCATAAAGCCATACTCATTTATTTATATATGACTGCTTTCCTGCTACAATGGCAGAGTTGAGTACCCGCAACACAGGGTGTTTGCTTGCCGGACAAGTCTAAAAGATACACTATCTGGCCCTTTGCAAAAAAAAAAATTGTTGACCACTGGCTTCAAACAATAACAACAAGACAGAATTTTCAAGATTACAAACTGGAATGCATAATCTGAAAAACAGTAATATTTGTCTGCAAACAATGAGACTGAAGAGTTGAAATACATGTCCAAAACCAACAACAACAAAAAAACTGAGGTGGAATATGGGCATACCTAGGAGATATCGTGAGTATCACAATAAAGTGAGTCACATGAATTCTGTGGTTTTCCAGTGTATGTGAAAGTTATGTTTATACTATACTATAGCCTATTAAGTATGCAATAGCATTATGAAAAAGTTTGAAATAGTGTGAGAATTACCAAAATGTGACACAGAGACACAAGGAGCATATGCTGTTGGGAAAATGGTGCTGAAATACTTGCTCAGTGCAGCGTTGCCACAAACCATCAACTTGTAAAAAGCATAGTATTTGTGCAGTGCAATAAAGTAAAGCACAATAAAACAAGGTATGCCTATATTTGCTTTACCCACAGTATTCTTCCCTCCAGATGTATTATTAATACCTACATATGTGGCATGAACTAGTTTCTGATATACATCATTCTCTCTCTCTTTTTTTTTTTTTAATAGTAAACCAGAATAAGTTAGCAATTGGCTTAATTATCCTGGTAAAATAGTCTCTAGATTGAAAGTATTAGAGACCATTTAATTCATTGGTTCTTAAATCTATCCCCTGCGGAGTTATTTCTAAAGTACTCATGCTTGAGCTTCACCACAGCCTAATGAATGAGAACAGGTGATGTAAATCTAAAAACCAAAACCAAACTCACTGCTGTTGAGTCAGTTCCACACACAGCGACCTCTCCTTGGGCTTCCTAGGTGGTAGCTCCATGGAAGTAGGTTGCCCAATCTTCCTTCCAAGGAGTAGCTGGTGCATTTGAACCACCAGCCTCTGGTTAGCAGTCAGATGCCTTAGACACTATGACACCAGATGTGTATTTTTTCTTAAGCTCTCCAAGTAATTTGGACCATTAGCTCAAAACAAATGGGAAAAAGTGAACTAGTCTTACAGGTAATGGTTCAAGTTCAATTAGACCAGTGAGGCAAATTCTGGTAAGTGGGAGTTTAGAGATTCCCAGTAGGTGTTTCTCTGTAGGAGATACAGTCTCTTATGGCTGGGCTCAGTGCGTTACAATTTTGGCTAAGCATCTGGAACACTGATGCATCTGGGGGTAGGGCTCAGGTATCAGTATTTTGTAAAGCTTCCCAGGTGTTTACTTGGTTCTAATGTGTTGTATTGGTGAAGAATACTGAACATACTATAGACTACCAGAGTATATTCAATATTCTTCACCATAATTCTACACATTAGTGATACTGCCTCAGAAACCCAAGGAGGGGTCGCTATGAGTTGAGTCCGACTCTACGGCACATAACAAAAACAACGTGGACTACCAGAAGAACAACAACAAAAAAATCTGTCTTGGAAGAAGTACAGCCAGAATGGTCCTCAGAAGTGAGGATGGCAAGACATCATCTCTTGTAGTTTGGTCATGTTACCAAGAGGCTATCATGCTTGGTAAAGTAGCGGGTGAGTGGGAAAGAGGCAGAGCCTCAATGAAATGAACAGACACAGGGGGCTGCAACAATGAGCGCAAGCACAGCAATGACTGTGAGGATGGTACAAGACTACACAGTGTTTGTTTTATTGTAAAAAGGGTTGCTGTAGTCTTTTGGTCTCAAGGTCATGGAGCTAGGGCTCCCGTGGTCCATTATTCCTTCGGACTAATTATTTCCATGTGTCTTTGATTTTCTTCACTTTTCTCTGCTCCAGATGGGGAGAGACCAATAGTTGTACTTAAGATGGCTGCTCACAAGCTTTTAAGTCCCCAGTTACCAAACTAGGTTGTAGAACATTGTTTTTGTGGACTGTGCTAAAACAATTGACCTTGATGTCCCCCAACACTATGGTCCTGAGGTCCCAGGTCCCATCTCCTCAAGGTGTTTGGAAGTTTTCATAACTTTGCCCTGTATGTTCTACTATATACATAGATATATTTGTAGCATATATAAATACATATGTAGAAATATCCTCTGTCAAACCTATATACATATATTCATGGTTGTAGACACGTTCCCCTTCCCACTCCTATTCAGCCTGCATGTCTGTCTATGTACCCACCCATAGATTACTCTTATTACTGTTATTGCAGTATTGTGTGTATAATAGTATTTACCTTTGTTGCCTTTAACTTTTGTGCTCTTTCCAGCGTCTTCCTTTACCTTAATCATTTTGTGCTGACCTCTACCTTATTGAGGAGCTCTGGTGGGACAACAGTTAAAGCATTTGGCTACTAACCAAAAGGTTGGAAGTTCAAACCCACCAGCCATTCTGTGGGAGAAAGGTGAGGCAGTTTGCTTCTATAAAGATTTACATCCTTGTAATCCCTAAGGGGGGAGCTCTGGTAGCATAGTGGTTAAAGCACTTGACTGCTAACCAGAAGGCTGGCGGTTCAAACCCACCAGCCACTCCTCGGAAGGAAGGTTGGGCAATCCTACTTGCGTAGTGATACTGCCTCGGAAACCCAAGGAGGGGTCGCTATGAGTCGGGGCCGACTCGACGGCACATAACAACTTAGGAGCTCTGGTAGCATAGTGACTAAAGCACTTGACTGCTAACCAGAAGGCTGGCGGTTCAAACCCACCAGCCACTCCTCGGAAGGAAGGTTGGGCAATCCTACTTCCGTAGTGATACTGCCTCGGAAACCCAAGGAGGGGTCGCTATGAGTCGGGGCCGACTCGACGGCACATAACAACAACAACAACAACAATCCCTAAGGGACCATTCTACTCTGCCCTATAGGGTTGCTATGAGATGGAACTGACTTGATGGTAGTAAGTTTGGTTTTTTTCCTCTTATATTATATTGCCTTTCCCTTTACCCAAGTTAAGATATGTCTACCCTCTAGTTAGTGATTTATCTTCCCTTCTTCTCCTACTCTTGGTAACCTTCAAAGAATGTTTCTGTAGGTAAACCTTTTCTTGACTTTTTATAGTAATGATCTCATATAATATTTGTCCTTTTGTGATTGACTTTAACTCAGCATGTCCTTTAGTTTCATCCATGTTATGAGATGTTTTGCAATCTCATCTTTAAAAAAAAAATTACATAGTATTCCATTGTGTGTCTGTACCATAGTTTGTTTATCCATTTCTCTGTTGATGAGCACTTAGGTTGTTTCCATCTTTTGCTACTGTGAATAATACTGCTATGAACACGGTGTGCATATATCTGTTCATGTCATAGCTCTTCCTTCTCTAGGATATATACCTACTAGTGGAATTGCTGGATCATATAGTATTTCTATTACCAACTTTTTAAGAAGTGCCATACCACTTTCCATGGGAGCGCTGGTGGTATAGTGCCTAAGGCATCTGACAGCTAACCAGAAGACTGGCGGTTCAAACCTACCAGCCACTCCTCAGAAGGAAGGTTGGGCAATCTACTTCCATAGTGATACTGCCTCGGAAACCCAAGGAGGGGTCGTTATGAGTCTGGTCCTCTCGATGGCAGTTTGTTTGTTTTTTTATACCACTGTCCACAGTGTTTGCACATTTTACAATCTCACCAGCATGTAGGAGAGTTCCAGTTTCCACAGTCTCACCAGCATTTGTTGTTTTCTGTTTTCTTGAAGTTTGCTATTAATGCTAGGGTTAGATGATATCTCCTTGTTTTGATTTGCATCTCTCTAATGGCTAACAAAAGGAGCTCTGATGGCATAGTGGTTAAAGCATTTGCCTGCTAACCAAAACGTCAGTTGTCCAAACCCATCAAGTCACTCTGGGAGAAAGATGAGGCACTATGCTTGGGTAAAGTTTTACAGCCTTGGAAAACCTATGTGGCAGTTCTATTCTGTCCTATAGGGTCGCTATGAGTTGGAATCAACTCAACGCTAGTGTTTATTTTATTTATTTCTTAATGGCTAATGATCACAAGCATTTCTTCATGTGTTTGTTGGCTGCTTGAATATCTTCTTTGCTGAAGTATCTGTTCATGTCTTCTACTCACTTTTCAATTGGATTGTTTATCTTTTTGTTGCTGATGTGTTGACATTTTCTATAAATTTTAAATATTAGTCCCTTATCTGATATGTCATTGCCAATTTCTCCCCCCCCCC